GATCCTCACATGCTGATAGCATGATCTCCAGACGTAGAACCTTTAAGGAAGCCATCAAAAACAATAAAACAAAACTGCTAGACCTGATGGACTAGTTTAGCCGGGCTTCAAGACATGAGACCAATGTACAAGACTTGATTCTACCTCTGTAGAGTAGAATGAACATTCCGAAAATGAAATCAAGAAAAAATTCCACTTATAATAGTATGAAAAAATAATACGTAGGATTTCTTTTAAAGGATCAAGACTTGTGCATTGAAATCTACAAAACTGGGCTGGGGAAGATAGTTCAATGGTCTAAGTGCCTGCCTGGCAAGTACAAGGTCCTGAGTTCAAACAGTGGTACTGCATGCCCTGCGGCCACTGAAATCAGGTGTGGTGGCACATGCCTGTTGTCCCAGTGCTGGGGAGGCTGAGACAAGAGGATTGCTATGAGTCTGAACTGCATAGTGACGCCCCGTATCCAATAAATAAATAAATTTTTAAAAATCTAAAACACAACATTTAAGGAAATAAAATAATTAGAAAGGTAGCCCATGTTTATAGAACATAAGGTTTAATATTGTTTAGACAGCAGTATTCCCCAGATCCAACAATAGATTCAATGCCTTCTCTACCAGATTCCCACATGACTTCCTGGAGAAATAAGTTAACATAAAATTCACATGGAAATGCAAGGGAACCAAGTAGAGGAAAACATTCTGTAAAAAGAAGAACGACATTTGAAGATGATGATCAGTTTTATGTCAACTTGGCAGAGTCCCCAGCTAATTAAATACTCTGCAAGTACTGTATAGATAAGTTTAACACCTACATCAACTGGCTGTAGGAGGGCCTCCTTAATGATTTGGAGGGGTCTGATCTAATCAGGTGAAGGGCCTTACAAGCAGAGCTGAGCCTGCTTACCTGAGGACTGCACCGTGAGCAACTGGCCCAGTGTCTTCGGCTGCTCATCTTGAAACCGCTGATGATTTTGGACATGAATTTTGGACATCTTTGCAAGCGTCTCTTCAGTTATGTATGCACATAATGTCTTACTGGCTCTGTTTGTCTAGTGGAAGACTGACCAATGTGGGGAATTCACAGAGAATGTCAGAATTTACTGCAAGCCAATGAAGGAAGACTGTAAAGGTGGCAGGAGACAAGAGCATAGGTCAGTGGAACAGACTTGCCAGTCCCAGAATAAAGGCATGTTTATGCCAGTTGGTTTTACAAGTGCCAAGATAACTGACAAAGAAGTCTTCTCAACACACAAATGGCGCTGGGCAACTCATGCCCACATGCAAAGGGAAACGCCCCCAAGGGGCTGTTTGGAGACGCACATGGAGGGAGAGCCTGGCAGCCCGCAGGGTCAAGTCTGAGACAAAGCAGCCCCACGCCAGCAAGGAATGCCAAGAAACCCTGTAAGAGGAGAGAGATCTTCGCCGGCACGCTCAGCAGGAACCAACCCCGCCAACATCTCGATCCTGGGTTTCTGGGCACGAGAACTGTGAGATGCCACCGCGCCATGCAGCTATGGTACTTGGGGTCGGCAGCTCGAGAACGCTTACAAGGGGGCAATTCCCCTGAGCTTCGTGGCCATATGTGGTGGGCTGCGTGCACAACAGCAGTCTCACAGACGACGACGGCGGCACCGGGAGCTCCCCGGGCGCTGTGCCGTCACTGCTGCCGTAAGGGCTCAGCGCATCGCGCTGCGCGTGGGTGATAATGCTGGTGTGTATGCGCGCGGTGCCGCGGGTCATATCGAAGGCCAGTGTGCACAGCAACGTGCGTGATCCTTGGTGACTGGCATCTGTTAGTGGTCACACATTTTCTTTTTGTCTTTTTGAGACAGGCTTCCTCTATGCAGCTCAGGCTGGCCTTGAACTCACAACGATCCTCCTGCCTCCGCCTCCCGAGGGCCAGGATTACAGGTGTGTGCCACCACGCCTGGCAATGCATTTTCTGTAGAACTCATCATTCTCTGGAGTGCACTCAGCTTGTAAGAGAAGCTTACTGTTAAGCAGTTCTGTCAGGTGGCTGTGACTCTTAGTCACTATATTCTCTGATCCTCAGTAGAGGCATCGAGTGCCTAGACCGTACCGTGTCGATTTATGCAGATATGCTGTAGGGACTTTACACAATTGTGAAATTACCGAACACGTCTTAGAACATATCGCATATACAGGTGACACAAGCGTGCTGTGAGGGCATCTACACACAGGGGCACGTGTGTCAGATTGATTTGCATGATGAAATAGTATTTGGGAATATGCTACATAACGACGACCAATCCCATAGCGTTGCATTCCTGTGCTTGAACATGGTCTACAGAATGCCTCGTTCACTCCCAAGTCTGAGTGTCACTTCGGGAACTTCACTGATATAGTTGTTACTGGCTCAGGGAAACAGTTTTGAAAAGTAAGAAGGACAAGGACTCAGGAAAGTTTGACTCTATTGCTACCAGTAAAGTACCCACTATATAAAAATCTTGTGTAAAATAATGTAGGTAATGCTTTTGTTGGAATAAAAGCAAAAATATTTTTATGGAACTGATATATAACCATCTATAAATTATATGAGTCGCGGCCCACGAATACAGCATCCAGACACGCAGAATAATGATTAAAGTTGTCTTAAAAAAAAAAAAAAAAAAATCATTCCTGGCTTTCAATCACAGAGAAATCGTAACTTGACATATTCTTTTAATTTTGTCATTACGAGGGTACACATGTCAATGTGGGAAGAGGGAACGTGTTTCACTTTGCAATTTTCCTAGCTTGAGTTACAGCTTTCAAGCACTTCAGTGCTGGCATGCGGCTCCTGCCTGCACTGTGCTCCAGGCCCTCACGGGGCAGGGCGGACCAGCACTGGGCAGTGACAGCAGAAACGTAGCCTGAGCTCTGACCAGGGGCACCCCAAGTGTCAGGTTGGTTCCTGTCACCCAAACACCTTCCGGTGAGCCCTTCACAGGCAGGAGCCTTCTTGGGCTGCAGATCTGTTCACTACAGATCTGATGCTGCACTGATGTGAGTCTCAGCACTAGCAGGGGCCATGCATGGCCCTCGGATTGTATCATTTCAGTGACCCTAAACTGCTCGAGTGGATAGCCGTTTTTACCACACTTCACTCTGCTTTTGGTAAAGGTCATGCACGGTAGAAAAAAGGCCTGACTTCTTCCCATGGCACCCCTCGGAGCAGAGTCTGGCTCCCTGGGGGGCTCTGAGACCTGGGGCGGGAGCCAGCATTCCGTGGCTCGGACGTAGGGGCTCAGGACTATCAGAGACCAGGTACGTGGCACAGGTCAGGGAGGGGACAGGCAGGGCCCATCCCAGATTTCCAAATCGAAGAAGCCTCAAGCTGCCTACAGAGACTGAAGTGAAGCCTGCGGGATTTCCAACTCAGATCCTGCTGTAGTCTTCATTTCCCCAAACAAACACAGAGCTGCACTCAGAGGCCCCGGTGGAGAGTCGGCGACAGACGGAGACAGACAGACGGAGACAGAGGCGCCTGACCTGCAGCCTGGCTGTAGCTGGCGTCTGGAAAGAACCTTCGCACCCTCTCCCTGGCTCTCAGCTCACAGAGCTTCTGCGCTAGCTCTGCATAAGTGAAAACCCACTAGAGACACACACAGAGTGGATTCACCAGATTTCAGCAAAGACGGCCCAACATTTCAAGCAGTAGGCACATGTAAGTGTCTAAAATACACTTTTAGGCTATGAAAAACGCCCAACTTCCTGGGCAGGCAGAAAGTCAACAGCCCCAGGCCTAATCGTAAGGGCAGCCTAGTGAACCACACTCATCAACCCACCACGGAGTTTACCAGTCACAGTTGAAACACAGATTAATAGGAACAAATAAGGTGCCGGGCTGGAAGCATTTTTACAGCAAGGAACAAAAGTTTTTAATCTTTGTTTAAATAAGACTTCAAAAGGATTCCACATATAACCAATAGTGAGGCCATTCAAAAATTAGCTTCGAGAAATGCAAGACAGAGTGACCAAAGCCCCAAGCTCGTCCGGTACCAGGCGACACTGGCAAGCTGAATGTAATCAGCACTCGGGAGATCTGAGACTCACATCCGCCTTTATCGGGCTGATAAAGGCGCAGAGGGTGGCTCAGGGCCAGTGTTTATTTTTACCCATTACCTGTTCTATTAATGAGATTGTGGGGCTTGGGGCCTTGAGGGAAGGCCCGATGTATTAGAACACCCCATGGGGTCATTTAGTTGTGCAGAGGGGATCAGGTAGAGGCAAGGGGCTGTTGGGTTTGCCGTGGGTGTGGCCCCGGCCGGCCAAGCCGCCCAGAGGAATTCTGCTGCTGAAGCCCACAGAACACAGAGGATATTTCCCTGCAGAGCACTGGATTGAATAAATGGGTCTTTCTCCCCAAATAAAAATATACATAAAGAAAAAATGCCCCAAGTGGATACTTTTAGAGTGAAAGATGAGACTGCCTTAGCCAGAATAATAAACGCATCAGCAATAGCATCGTTTAAAGAAATTCGATCTTCAGACTCCATTAGCAAGGGCCTCGGAGGGACTCCAACGGCTGGGACTCTGGGCCGAGCCCAGGCTCTCCCCATCTCAGTCAGAATTTTTGCCTCTGAATTCTTTGAAGGGAAGAAAAAAGAAAACAGATCACCCAGTTGCAGCCCTGTTCAATAACTTAAAGCATCAGACACCCTCGCAGAATATAAAACAGACCCTACTTGCTTCAGCAAAGGTTTCTCCTCCACATCATCGTTTTTGGGGTTTGAGCTGACCAAATTCACTCTTGCCACTAAATGTTTGATTTACTCTAGAATAGTAAATGCAAGAAGAATTCTGCTTTGATCTTTCAGATTCAACATTACCACACTTGAGATTACTGCCTACGCTGGTCGCCTCAGAGACCAAGTGACATGAGTCCACGGCTGGAAATGCAGTGCTTTGACCCAAGCCCAGGCCAGCTCTGCCTCTGCCTGGAGCCCCACAGAGAAGCCCTGCAGAATGGTAAGAAAGGAGCTTCGGAGCACTTACGAGGATCCTGGGCTTGCCGTGGGAGGAGGGCCTGCAGAAGGAAAGAGAAATAGGAACCGTCAGTGTGAGGGGCTGGGTGCACTCCAGCCACTACCAGTCAAGCTCCCAGCCGCCCATAGGTGCTATTTATTTTTCTGGGATTTACTGTTTTTTTCTTTTTCTTCCTCCGAATGCCTTCAGGGCAGGTTTGGCTGGCTTGAGTTGTGCGGACTGCGTTGTTGAAGCAGCCACTTAAAGAACTGAGCTAAGGGGCGGGCCCCCTTTCTTATTATTATTATTATTTTTTTTTTTTTGGTAGTACCGGGGATTGAACTCAGGACCCTGTTCTTGCCAGGCAAGCGCTATTCTACTGAGCTATCTCCCTAGGCCCTGGAATCTACTATTTTGTTACAGTTTCCTCCTGCCACCTCTGTGACCCACAGCAGACTTGTAAGAATGTGGGTACAACTATGTCCCCCAGTTCAGGGTCTCATAAGTGCAAGGACAGAGGCCGAAACATGAGCTGGGAGTGGCCTTCTGGTCTCGGGCACAGCGCCAAGAGGGGTTTGCATGCCGCCAATGTTCCTGCCTCCCCCGGCAGGGAGCGGAGGGCTCAGGGCATGACAGCTGGAGTCTGGGCAATGCGGGGGGCAGATCTGGACTTCTCCTGCTCTGCCCTTTCCTGCTTGGCCGCTCCTGCCATGGCCACTGACCCCAGGCGCAGCTGACTTGTTGCACGGTGGGCGTGGCTAACCCCTCTGGAGCATGCGCCCTCCGGTGCTCACCCCTCTCCATCCTCAGGACCTTGGCCCTCCAACCGCATGGGGCTGAGGGCCCAGGAAGGCCGCTTACCAAACTTGACGAACAGGACCCCGGTGGTAGAGACCACCTTCTTGCCGTTGGTGGCCACACACTGGAAGTAGCCGGTGTCAGTGGTGTCGAGGTTCCGGATGCGCAGTCGAGAGCCGTAGCTGGTCGCCCGGAAGGAGATTCTCCGGGGCTCCTGGACCACAGGGGCATCGTTTTTGAACCAGCGGATGGAGGGAGGCGGGTTCCCAGAGACCCTGCAGTGCAGTTCTGCCGTCTGCCCCAGAGACGTGGTGATGTTGTTCATGGGTTCATCGAGCGCCAGGTAAGAACCTACAAAGGAGCACAAGGAGGCAGGTGAGGCTGGGCCAGCCCCCTGAGCCACCCCCACCCACTCCAGCCTCCAGCATGTCCCCAGAGCCCCTGGGGGATAACAGGGGACCCAGTGGAGAGAGACAAGGTCTGAGGGAGAGCACTGAGCCTGCTTGGGGCCAGTGCCCAGGGGAACTTTGTTACTAAGTCTGCCGACGGCTCCATGGCTTCCATGAGTAAATTCACATTTTAAGCCAAGAACCAATGTGGTTTTGTCTTTCAGATTTTAAAAAAAATAACTCACATTCCTTTTTCAAATAATAGTATTGTGAAGAAGAGAAGAAAGCTAAGGTCCATCTCAAATCTTTCCCTCCCAGACTAACAACACTGCTCTTAACTCTCTGCAAAGATCCTTCCTGTGTGTCCAACGCTGGGAAGAAAGAAAGCAGGAGCAGCATGTGACTGTCGCCACCCCACAAGACTGGGCGGGGCCTCACGCTCCTGATGACGTCAGGGCTGTGAAGGCAGGACCTACAGCCAGCCTGGAGGGGGGTGTTTCCATGACATCACTCAGGTCGCCAGTGACACACTATAGGACAGGCTGGTGTTTGTGTCAGCATCACGCATCATCTGTCATCAACCTACAATCCACCTCTCTCCTACCAATTCAACGCAATTATAATTTTAATTACATTCTGCGTGCTGAACAGAAAGACCTTCAGCAGTCCCAGAGCGCTGAGGCAAGCACACACACTTGAAACCAAAGTCCCACCCCGATGGGACAGGGACAACCGGGATCCACACCCCACTTCCTTGGTAGTCAGACCTGCTCCCCAACGCCATCTCTTACCCCCTCTGCAATCACCTACTTGTTTTTATTAAATTTATTGAAAATCAGTAATTACATATCATTTTAAAAAGTATAGACAGATATTGAAATGTGAAAGGTATAAGATGTAGACAGAATGAATTTTAGAGAAATATTTCTGAAATGAATACATTGCCTGAGATTAATAATAGATTGCACACTGTAAATAAATTATTTACAACCTTAAATGAATATAACAATAAAAATTGTCCAAAATAAAAATGAAGAATTTACAGATCAGTCATAAATAGTTCACTCTGTATCAAAATCAAGAAACTTACATTCATATAATTAGAATTCTCA